TTGCTGTTTGTCTCTGTTTGTCTCTTGTCTTTTTGATCAAGAAGGCAAGAGACAAACAGCAAGAAACAGAAAACAAAAAGCATATTGTAGAACAGCCATAAGACTCTGAAATCATAAAATAGAAAGAAATTTAACTTTTAATTTTTCAATTACTTTTTTTTATTAACTTAACTTTTAATTCAATTAATTTCATTATACATTAACTTGTATCTTAACTAAGTTAAATTTTCAAGGTTGTTAACTTTAACTTAACTTAGTTAAAAGAAAAAATTAACTTACCCAACCCTGGAAACAACCAATCAAATTTTTGTCTAAATTGACTTTTCTGCGTATAATACATGGAAGGATTTCTACCATGGTATAATAGCGCTGACACATTGGAATAGCCAATCAAAATTTTGCCTAGATTCACGCTGCTACTGCGCAATCACGGGAACGAAAAACCTGGTATTCTTACATCATGGATGTCTTATCATCATGGATAAATCGTGAGAGGGGTGCATTCCAAAACTTGACTCTGTCAACTCCGAATATCTTTTATTCTTGTTCAACATTTGGTGAACAACGAGGATAAAATAATACGTACTCGGATTGACATAATCGAGTTTTGGAACACAATCCAGTGAGTCCCGAAGGTAACACGTAATGCATAAGAAATTCAACCAATCAGAGTTCTTTATTTCATGGAAAGGAAAGAAACAAAGAACGTTGATTGTATTTTCTTATGTATTACATGTTATGCAAGAGTTTGTACTTCCTGCTTAAGTGTGTGAAGAACGATGACATTATCGACTATTTAGATGTATTGGTCTACTGGACTCATTGTCAGTACAATGTGCTCTTTGTTTTCTCTTTCTCGCAAAAATGTTTCATATATAATTATATAAAATTATATATAAAATATATATATATATATATATAACATTTTTCCCTTTTTTGCTTTTTACTTCTTGCCTTTTTGCCTCTTATCCAATTTTTGTTTTCTTTCGTCCGAAATAAAAATTGATGGACTTCGAAAGAGACGAGCAACACGTGAAAAAAAACGTGATTGTCAATAAAACGGTCATAAAAAAGAAAAAGGCATGAGGTAAAAAACGAGAAATAGAAAGCAAAGAACACATTATAGATTACTAATAGCACAGATGTTCAAGCTAGGAATGTTCTGAAGAGCATCCTAAAAATGTCTCAACATTCTGAGAACGTTAGTAGAAACATCTCTGGGATAAAGTGTACTGTATGGGTAAATTTCAGACGTTTTAAAAAAATGTTTTTAAGGTGCTTATAACTCGTTCTTGAATATATTGTTTGGGGAGGATAACATTAAAAATGTCTTTAAAAATCACGTTTGTTATCCTTATAGTAAAGCCAAAATAGTTGATCATTGCTCTGTAATTGCGGGTGGGCTCTCTTCGGGTCCCTTTCATGGTCACGAAAAATCTTTGGCTATCTTTAATAACATCTCGTCGATGTTACTGAAGCATTCCAGTCACTCTTAAAAATAAATATGAATTATTTTTACAATTTTTAACTTGAAAGATTAATATATCCATCTATTAGTATGAAAATCGATGTGAGAAACATTTAGAATACTTATCGTAACTGAAACAATTGACGGTATATCTTAGTTTATTTATGGAACTAATTATAATTTATCTCATAACGGAATAACACAAACTATTCACAATAAACGCATTGCGAATTGACTGCTCGTATGTATTTATATGAGCTGGTTAAAAAAAGAAAGGAAAGAAAAGGAAATATATAACAAGAGTTCTCAATGTAATGCGTGTTCGCTGCTTTCGCGAATAAAGTAATCTTAACAGTTTAATTCGTGATGAAGATGATTGTAATCTAAAAATATCTTCGTTGCACATTGCGTCCCTTATTTTATGACTATAGGACACGTAAGTACCATAACAGTAACACCTTATTACGATAGCGACTTGCACTGTTTGCAGTTCTCCATTCGTTCATTGAATTCCTCTATTTGCAGTGTCATCTCAAAGAATTTGTATTTATCGTGGATATTCCGCGTAGCGGTGCATAAGATGTTCTGGGGACTTGATCCAGGTTCTGCGAATGAAAATATCGCATTGTTTCAATAAAAAATAAATGTCGCGAAATAGATAACACAATAATAATAGAAATACGAAACATGATTTTATATATAATAAAATTTAGAAGTCTAAAGAACGATGAAATGCAAATAAATTTATAGTTTGAATCGAGAAATATATATATAATGATCTAGGATAATGCTAAAGGATTTAGTACAGGTGCAAGAATTTGAGAATCTATAAATATAAGCATGCTTTGTGACGGCATATATTATTTTAAGACTAGTTTCGTTGCATAACTAAAATACGTAAATATAAGAAGTGCACATGTTGAATTGTATTTTTGGGTGTACGTACTTATAGCGAGATGCGCTGACAGAGCAGTCTTGTCGAGTGAAAGCGCCCAGATTCTAAGATTGTGTACTTTAACGACTCCATCTATTTGCATAAAGGTATTCTCCACGTGCGAATAGTCAAAACCCTTAGGAATACCTTCCATCAACACATTAATTACATCTTTAATAATCGCCACTGTAGTGAGAATAACTAATATGGAGAAGAGGAATGTACATATTGGATCCACCAAGCTCCAACTTGGCTGAAATATTAATCGATTATTAGTTATGCTTTATGTTTTCGATAGATAAGCCTGTTTGTTCATTGAATCACAAAACTTCTATAAAAGATAAATATATAAAGAACACAAGAATGACAACTTTTCAAAGCTTTATTTTTATTTCATGAGACATGATAAAGTATGTAAAAATATACGTTGGTAAATTACTAATGAAAGTTTGAAGATACCTTAAAATAAATGACTAATGCGGCGATGAATACTCCCACGCTCTGAATAAAATCACCCAAAACATGAATGAATGCGGCGCGCACATTGATATTCTTTTTTGATTGGTCGCCTTTGAGATCATCATCATGCCCATTTTCCACATTATCGTGATTGTGTCCACCGTGACTGTGTCCGCCGTGACTGTGGCCATGCTGATGCAACGACAGGCCCATTCTATAATATCACATATATATAATGCATATATTTCTCTTTACAATAAATTAAATAAAGACGCTAATTCTGAAAATTTTGTTAAAACTAGTTTATATCTGCAATTTTGAGCTAATTTTTTTTATTTAAATTAAATAAAGTTCAAATCAGGCCATTCATGTAATTTAATTACTTCAAACACTTCTCATTTCGCACATTTAAATTAATTCATGTATTATTCGCGATTATAATACGCAATGAGGAGATGCTTCCCAAGTAACACAGTCTAGCTATAAAAAAATAAAAAAAAAAGATCAAAATATAGCCACAGCTACTTTAGCTGTGCATTATAATAGTAGTACAGTGACTATGACAACTAGAAAGTCAAAATGCGCAGTTATTTTATCTGTAATGATAGCTGTAAAATCACTGTGACTTTACGTTATCAGAAAAACCAAAACTAATCTCAGCCATTTTGCTACTTTTAAAGTTGGAAAGTGAATAGCTAACAAGTCTTCAAGATGAAAAGAAATTTGTAAAAGTTTGGAAAATTCGGCTGTAATTTGTATGACATCGAAAGCAAAGAGTAACGTGATTATCAATGTTACAGTCCTTCTACAATAAGCCGCAAGTCAGAAGTTTTAAGCAATCTTAAGTCATAATCTGTGAAGTTGGCCAATCACAGTAGAATATGAGAAGAATAATCGACTATGATTGGTCAATTTTCTACGACTTAAGACCCTACGATTGCTACGACTTCTATTGTAGACCCCACATAAGACTGGTTAAGACTTCTGACGTTCTGACTTGCGGCTTATTGTAGAAGGCCTATTATATTTAGCACATATCATAGCAAAAAATTGACCATACGTTCATTTATGTGGCTCTAAAATTAATTAGTACTTATAAGATTCTATGTAGTTCTGTGTAGTTCTGTAATCAGTATATTTATGAATGTTTGCCCGCGCTAGTATACTTATATACGTACTTTATAAATTGTAATAATTGCAATGATTAATTAATGTTTAAATTTGATCTTATAGTGAAACGAAATTGCCAGAGATTCAATTCAAGTTAAAGCAAAAAAGAAATTTTTTAAATTCTTGTTTTACAAATTAAAAAATTATAGATCAATTTTTATTGATTTTATTAATTTACAAACAAAAATCATTCTCCTTTATTAGTTTGTTTATCTTTATTCCGACTACCACTATTGTAATATGACACAATCTTTTTACAGCAAAATAGTTATGTAGTCAATAGCTGCGACATTGTTTTTAAAGTCTAAAATGTTAGCCAATTTTTGGCTAACAACTTTTACAACTTGAAATGCTCTAATGACATTGTGACAATAGCTATGCTACATGTTGCAGTTTAAACAACGTTATCGCCAGACATTTTAAACATGTAACAACCTCTTTATACAATAGCAGAATAGTTAAGCATCCAAATGGCTCCGATATCGTTTTTGCTGCTACAATTTTCAAAACGTCACAATGACGTTATGGCAGTATCTGTGACAAAAATGCTATTTAAATTGCGACAACGTTATCGTAGTTTTGAAACTTCATGTGTTACTTGGGTCGGTTAATGTTACTCCTGGTGAAAATTTTTTTCAGAATTTTTCATATGATTGTTCAGAATTTCTATATAATTTTTCAAAATTTCTATATCATTTTATAACTTTTTCACATTTTTTATACAAATTGGAACATTTCTCAGAAAATCTACATCTTTTCTCAGAATTTTTCGTATATGTTAATTATAAAATATCGTAAGATTTCTAAGATTTTTTGTATAATTCCTGATAAAATGTTATAAAATCTAAAAAATTAAAAAATATTTTTTTTTATTATGGGATGAGAAATTTCGGAATATGTCAGAATTTGGTTGTGTGAAAAATTCTGTAAGAAGATGTAAACTTTCCGAATATTTCTGAGTATTTCTGAAAAATGTTCCAATTCGTATCAAAATTATGAGAAAAATTTTCGCCAGGAATATTAAGTACATTGTACTTTCCATTGTTATAGGAACAATTGTACGGTATTATGTTGCTATGCATGAATCGCCATTGGATTGTACAGAAGATTAAATAAATAATTGTCTTCAATGATATCACTAACACTAGATTTACCGCAACACCAACTGCAGACGTAATCAACATCACCGTTGCATCCAATTCGAAGTCCTTATGGACAATTCTTTCTATCGCGAGGTAGAATAAAATGCCGGTAACTACCCATATTAATAAAACCGAAGTCAATGCCCCGATAACCTAAAACAACGAACAGAAAATATCCTATCATCAATTTCCGCGTGTTGTAATATTTCCATTGTTTTATAAAATGCACTGCAGAAAAAAATTTCTGAGATACAGCATATATATGTACATTTTTTCACAGGTGTATTAACTGGCTTTCTTTTGTGTGTGATACAACTCCACATAAATTATAATACATCACGAATAATTTCGAAATTAATTAAAAACAATTTTAATGCAAATTTCATGCAATATTTATTCCATGTGTATACTGTTCTCTATTCTAACTTTACATCCCCTTACGGAAAAATACTATTAAGAATCAATAGTTACTATTGGTGTTCCAGTAGTTACTACTGAGACTCCAGTAGTTATTACTGAGACTTCAGTAGTTACGATAGAGGCTCCAATAGTTACTATTATGACTCTAATAGTTTGAACTTCGGAGAACCTGACAATAATTATTTTATAATAACGCCAGATTCAAGGAAAAATTGATACATAAATAAAGTAAGTAAAGTAAATAAAAATCATTATTTGCATCATTATAAAATCACTGTCAGTTATGTTTTAATTATTTATTTATGAAATTAATTTCAAATTGGATCAAACACGAACAGTATTGCACCATAAAACGTTAATTAGATTATATTTTTCATTATAACATTTGTTATCATGAGATACACAACGCATGATGGAATGAGGGAAACGCGCGCGGTACCAAGATAATAAATGTTTATAACGAAAAATATATTCTAATTAACGTTTTATGGTGCAATATTATTCGCATTTGATCCAATTTGGAATTAATTTCATAAATAAATTATTGAAACATAACTAACAGTGATTTTTTTATAACGATGCAAATAAGGATTTTATTCACCTTTATATCAATGTACCAATTTTTCTTTAGGTCTGGCGTTATTATAATGATTATTTTTTATTTTTACGTAGAAAAATACATAAGAAAACATAGAAATAAAATAATCCCCGAGTGGTCGCGCGAAACCTTCGAAAATTTGTGTACAATATATACTCTACTCCTTTTTATTGATCAATAATAACTATTGACCAACAGTAATTATTGACCAACAGTAACTATTGGCCAACAAACAGTACTAACTATTAGCCAAATTACTATTGGCCATTTTACCATTTATTAATAGTTTTTCCATAAGGGTCTTCTCATTAACTTCACATCGTTAACTTTTACATCTAAATCAGGCCTGTTCAATTTGAACTCAGAAGCCAAAACGCATTCATCGACGCAAAACATTCAATGTAAGTAAGATTTCAAGGACTATAAAATATTGATAAGCATCACTCAGATGCTTGCTGATCAACATTTTAGTCCTCGAAATCTTACCCATATTGAATTTTTTACGTTGATGGGTTTGTATTTTGGCTCTGGAGCTCAAATTGGACAGGCCTGATTTAAATAATTGATAATATAAATTATACTTATTTATCAATAAGATTCCACGTTTAGCTAATTCAATTTTGTCTGAATATCCACATCAAAGAGAAAGGGAAAAAAATACTCACCTCCGCTCGATACCAACCAAAAGGCATTTTTCTAGTGGCTGGTCTATTGGCGACCCAGATGGAAAAAAGAGATATCATAAAAGACGCAAAGTCAGTCAACAAATGCGCGGCATCAGTTGCTATCGCCAAACTATTCGATAATACTCCGCCTAAAGAGAAAAAGAAAATAAGAAGGAAATTTATGATAACTCCGCGACCGTAAATAATTTTTGCAAAGTATTCTTGTTTATATAAATAACGCGTTTTGTTATATTACCGACGATTTCTGCTATCATAAAAATAACGCAGAGCGCACTGGCGATCAACAACTTCTTTCGGGCTTTCTTGTCGATCTCTTCATTCCTCTCCCTGTGACAATGATCTTCTGGAGATACTAAAAATAATCATAAGAAAGGAATATAAGTGTTTAGTTAAAAAAAAGGAGTTACCTGAAAAGCCACGACTCGTTAAATGTCAATTAAAGTTACTTGATTGATGCAAAAATTATATTTTAATATAATAAAATATAATAGGTTTTTTTTCTAGTTAAATTTAGAATAAATTGGACAAATGTTTTTCTTACAATGAATTGTCATTGTTGTCTCTATTTTTCAGATAATTTTCATTTCACTTTTTATAATTGTCACTTTCTTAAATAATCAGATAGCAAAAATATATACTGACCAAAAAGATAGGCATTGCGTGAAGGATCGTCGCACATTTTTCTTAAAAGAAACTAGAATTGCTCGGTGACTAAAGAAACTGGTATAAAACACCTTTTATGAAAAACAGGAAGGTCTTTTGCGGAATAACCGTAGTGTACTGAAACTTCCGTATATGGATAAAGTAAAACTGAAACGTTAAATACGTTTTTCTCGAAATTTTTCCTTAAATGTTTTTAACCTTGTTGAAATGATAACTAAAAAACTAATTAAGATAATCTCCTGGTTTTTTCTTTTGTTTCCTAACACTTTTACGCAGAAACTATAATTGAGTTTTCACATCAACAATTTGATGTTTTACAAACAAAAAAGTAAACAATTTTTTTGACAAAAACATTTTTTATGCCATCATTTTTTTAAATCTTTCTTTAAAAAATTCATAAGAATAGAATAATTTTATGGCCGGCAAAAGTGAAAGGCCTCTTAAATCACATCATTATATATCTCGCAAAGAAAACATACATGGATTTTGTTGATAGTCCGCAGCTGTATTTTCGTCGCCAGAGCTTTTCACAACCGTACAACAACCTGACAATTTTCCATGGACGCAGAAGATGACCTTCCGTGGTGACATCTCATTTTCCTCGTCCTCGTTGTTATTCGGGGGAATGCTCGTTCCATAGCCATAAATCGCCTTATCTTTAAATCTGCAAACACATCATTATAAATTTCTACAGTTGAATATTATTAAAGTAATGGTACAAAGAATCTTTTTTACTTTATTACAACGATCGCGCTTTTTTTATACGACGTTGCGTAATGGAAGAAAGTGATTACGTATTAATGAAATAGTCATGTATGGCTTGCCGTCGATGATTCGGGGAAAAAGTGACATCATTGTAGAGTCATTTATATTTAATAAACTATTTTAAGTCATCTCTCTCTTTCATCATGTCAATTTTACTTTATTGAACTTTTTGGGTACGTAAAAATAATTTCGGTAGCTTTTTATTTGTCAATCACCAACAAATCACGAAATCTACATCAATTCCGGAGCTATCTTTTATATCTCTCGGCTTTCTTTGATAAGATTTATATGAAGATGTTCGTACTGGTTAATGTGATAAGAGGCAGCAGTATATTATTTATGGAACTCGGTATAAAGTCCATTAAGTTATATATTCAAATTATAGTGAAAATTATAAAATTCGAATTTGTAACAGAATCTATTTCCTAATTAGAGATTTATCGAAAATAATTTACATAATTTGCATAATTCGGTTAATTTGAGATAAAGAAAGATTTCTTAATATTCCTTATTTTTTATTTTTTGTCAAATTAGATATATTTATTTCTAAATGCAGATTTATAAAAGAAATCAATATTTTTTAGAAATATTGAGAATATCATTAAATATATTTTATACATTTAAAATATATTAAAAAATACATATTTTTTAAAATATTTGTATTCGTGATATTATCAAGAATAATCAATATTTTGGAAAAAAGAAAAAAAAGAATGTAAGAAAATTCTCATATACATGTTTTTTCACTCTATTTTAATTACGTAAGCGTCGTAAGCAATTCTGTAAAAAGTCTGATGGAGATATTTGTATGCACAATATGTATTGTTGATGTTGTAACCACGGTTGCCAGGTCCCGAGCACTGCATGGCTGGAACCCGAAGGTCCGTGCGCTGGAGATTTCATGTTCCGACTGAAAGTCGGTCTATTGTTTAAAAAAAAAAAAAGAGGCGCCAAAGAAATTGACCAACATAACGTGTCAACACTATCAGACTTTTTATTTTTAAATATTATTTTTAGAATATCTAATGCGTACAGCGCGAGTTACATATAGTTCGCAAAACAAAAAAATAACATTATTCGTGTAACATAACAAATTGCGAACATAATCACAATTAATATTGCACCATACAGCGCGTTAATCGTTATATAAAACTGTTTAAATGAAAAAAAAAAACCATACTACTTTATACGATAACGATGAAACATAACATATTATTTTCTCACTATTTCTTTCTATTGAAATAATACTTTTTTTGATTCATTGCACATTTCAGTAACTCTCTTTGTTCAAGTTCTTTCAAGAAATTGTAAAACTTCTTACAATTCAAATTATAATTTTCTTTGACGCACACTTCTGCCTTTATTGATTCAACATGCAAACGATTATGTTCGTCAGTTTATAGATTATTTACTATTGAAAAAATTCTTTCTACGTAACTATTGTTCACTGGTATTGCAAGGACATTTTGTAATATTTTCGATAACTCAGTAAAGAAGTGGCAATCATTGTTTAAAAATATTTTTTTCCATTTTTCATCCAATGTATTGTTAGGATCAATAGAAGGTATTAAGTTCTTTGTAATACACACTTCTTCATATAATTTATCTCCTGACAGTTAAATTAAGATGCGCTGCAATTTTCAAAATATTTTCATAATCAAAGTTATTACTTTTTAAATCAAGAGCTCTCATTTCTTTGTAAATTGTTACATCATAATCATACCATTTTTCAAGATAATTCATTGCTCTTTTATATACCGATAAAGCTTCATTAATAGATATTTCTTTATTTAGCATGCATTTAAGTACAGAATTTACTGTACTTCTAAAAAATTTATTCTTTATCCTAACTTCTAATTTCATTCTTAGCGATCTCATTATTTCATCTAATTCAATACAAGTTAAATGCTTCTTTTCAATAGCAAGTAATGATTTTGTCGTGAAATCTATAAAATGATGAACAAAATACTAGTAAAAAACTGGAGATTTTTCCCGTTGACTGGAGAACTGGAAATTGGTGCCGAAAACTGGAGACTCCAGTCGCAATCTGGAGACCTGGCAACCGTGGTTGTAACCAAAGATATAGAGAATGGACTGCGCGATCCGTGTGTCAAAATAGTCGATAGGGATGAGAGAGAGAGAGAGACCGTGGCAGACGGCCATTTCTATCTCTTTCCATTCAATGGTGTAATGGGAGAGAGAATGAGAGGGGGATTGGCCGTCTCCCACGGACCTCTCTCTCATTATTGTCGACCACATTTGATACATGATAAAAATACAAGGGTATGCTCATCAATTGTCTAAAACTCGTTCAGCTTGCGCATGTCCTTGCCTACGTCATATTCGGGTACGCGTTGATTGGTCGGTTCTGATTCGGGTGCAATCGGTGGTTATCGGTCGTAATTTATCATGGTGTCCATGGCGTAGTGCACGTTGTCATCGGTAGAAGTTAATGTTAAAAATATTTTCACGATGACCTGCATAGTGAAAGGATGCGGCAATTATATGAAAAAAACAAAAAAAACTGAGGGAAGTAAAATTAAATATTTTACCTTTCCAAAACAATCTGAAATTGCTGAACAGTGGCGTAAGCCACTCGTTGTGACGTAAGCAAGGACAAAAATCTGATTGGTCATGCGCATGAGCATACCCTTGTCTTTTTATCATGATTTGATACACTACTTGGATACGGATCGCGCAGTCCATTCTCTATGTCTTTGGTTGTAACACGCTTTAACAGTAACACATTATATTTGGAGACACTGGTAGTGTCTCGGCGTTAAGCTATGGCGCGAAACATTGCCGTGCCTCCTTTACGCGAACCGGAGAGTTGCGACCGATTGAGGTTATCGGAAAGTCAATAAGGGCTGAACCAAAGCATAGAGAATGGACTGCACGATCCGTATCTAAGAAATGCATCAAATGTGGTCGACAATAATGAGAGAGAGGGACCGTGGGAGACGGCCAATCTCCCTCTCATTCTCTCTCCCATTACACCATTGAATGGAAAGAGATAGAAATGGCCGTCTGCCACGGTCCCTCTCTCTCATCCCTATCGACCATTTTCACACACGGATCGAGCAGTCCATTCTATATGTTTTTGGGCTGAACCGATCAACTTCTAAGTGTGTTTAATCGATTGTAACCGCTCGAAATATATAATAAAAGTGTTTTTATTTTTTCTCTACGTACCTTACAAGCGGAGATATCGCGACGCAAATTTCCGAAACGGCCACTTTTTCATAATATTTTATTAAGATACATCGTCGTCGTCGTCGTCGACCGCATTCCACACATTCCTTTAGTGTCCTTCTGACATTCTTTACGCAAGAAGCGCTAGTTTCGCGTCCTTCTGATTCTTTACACAAGGAGCGTTATGGTACATTTCCATTGAGCGCGTCACGCGTCGCGTCGTCCATCGCGTCACGACGCGACGCGAAAGAGAGAAAGAGTGAAGTTATATATGTACACAACCCCTCTCTTTCTCTCTTTCGCGTCGCGTCGTGACGCGTAGACGACGCGACGCGTGACGCGCTCAGTGGAAACGTATCATTAAGCCGTAATCACACTACAGGCTCCCGATTCTAACTCCCGACTCCCAACTCAAAGTCGATCGAATAGAGTGATTTCTATTCTCGAGTCGGCAGTCAGGGTGCCGTCACATATAGCCCGTAATCCGATGCGGATTACGGATTACGGGCTGTATGTGACGGCACCCTCAGAGTCGGCTGCTGCCTTGCTGTGATTGGTAGAATGATAGTTGGGACTGTTGGGAGTCCGAGTCAGTAGTCGAGTCAGAGTCGGGAGTCTATAGTGTGATTACGGCTTTAGTGATACATTATCGGCGAACACACGACAGTGTCGCGGCGCTAAGCATGGCGTGAGTCTGTACTATAGTAATGACACGGTCGGTTTTTTCAAAACAGAATCGATAAAGTTGGTAAAAATGAAACAGTCATAATTGCTAAATAAATAGGAAATGATAATGAAAAAGCAATTTATTCGATCTCGATCTCCATTTGTTTGTTTATAACTTAATATTTAACAAAAGGAGATTAAATATAAATGAATAGATGAAATTATTCGCTGTATTATTAAGAAAAAACGTCATCATTATCGTCGTCGTCGCCGCTACGGAGTGGTGGGGGTAATGTCCTTTTGGAATTTTTGGCGCAAGAGGCAAATGTTGCGCTGGCAATGCATGGTCACGTATATGTTCTAAAGTCACATCACACATGTCTGTTTTCTGTGGTTAAGTTAGGAGGTTAGGAAATCCGTCACGTCGATGGCATAGAGGATAAGTGATTTTCTGCTTCTGCAATTACATTAAATTAGACTTATTCGACACGTTTTTATACGAAATGAACGAATTTAAATGGCAAAAAAAATGTATATCGCTTTACCCCGTGGACAGAGATATTAATCGTTAAAGTTGATGACTATTCAGGTTAGGAAATCCGTCACATCGATGGCATAGAAGGACATGAGAACATGTAATATTTTCTGCTTCAATTCAATTACACAAATTCTCTACTTTAAAAATATTAAGAATACAAATTATTTTCTAATTTTTACATATTTGTTATTTATCTGTAAAGTAGAAAATTTGTTTAACCCTATATGCCATCGATGCAACAGATTTCCTAATCTGGATATCTGTCAATTTTTATCAACCTCGAGGAGGTAAGGAGGTTAAATTTAACAATTACCGAATGTTGATGTCTTGCGTAAATCTAATTGTTTGTTCGACCTTGTATGTATATTATTATGTAACTAGTAATTTAAAGATATGTTTCATGATGCATTTCTTGTCGAGATTTCCTTGTGGTAAAGTAAAGCCTCTTATTAATGAATCCATCCAGAAAACGTCAAGAAGATTTTTCTCAAATGGAATTTACGAAAGGATGTTTGGAACAAAATTTGGAACTTTCAAATTCAACGTATGGTTTACATCTCTGTTTATCTGCAACGAACAATTTCCCAAGTCTGTCAGGAGCTATTGCATATTATATGTACAAAATTTAAGAGTTAAAATTAAACCGTATAAAACGAAAAAATTTAATTTAAATAGAAAAATTTTTCATGTAAAAACACTTGGCGCTGCTAGATCAAGTAAGAAAAATTATAAAATCAATTTAAAATTAGAATGGTAATTAGTAAAAATAAATAATAAAAGGTAATTATAATTTAAAAGTAATAACAAAAATAATAATAAATTTAATCTGAACTTTACACTGAATAAGAATATAAACTTTACTATTTATTTTTCTTTTATAACTTTACAAATCGAAATTTGTTTTTCTTAGACTTAAACTTAACAGTATTCACAACGTTTTTATAATTTACACGACTCTATAATTCAATCGTATATATACACACGCTAGATACTTTAACTCTCATTGGAAATGCTTCTTATTTTTCTTATTTTTCTCTAAATATTCATATTTTTTAATACGATTCTAATTTTTCTTATTAATATGCTTTTTATTTATGTGTGTGTTATTTTTCTAAATATTACATTCATATTTTACTACTATGTTAAATGTTATTATATCGATCGAGATCTAATAATAAGATTAATATTCATTATTTATTTAATTTGACATGGTATAAAGAAATGGGATTTAACTTTACGCCACAGTTCTTGATATCAAATCTTTTATAGGAATGATATCATTAAAGTTAATATTATTTATATAATTTGGTATACGAATGATACATATCATTATAAGAATATCCTCGAAGAAAAAATTAAAACTACTGTTAATTGGGTTGGATACTTGTCAGTATTATATAAAAAGAGTCGATTTCATCAACTCGATTAAGCCGAATCGATGATTAACTGTCAATCATAAGTGGTCAATTCTACTAAATAGCAAACACAATTAGTCAGTTCCACGGCCAATTAAGTAATTGGCGTTGGTGAAACCGACCCAAATGATTCTTCACGAAAAGTACGCATGCTTAGCGCTTTTTTTTACCTTTTTTTAAAAAGGTAAGTTTGTATAAATATATAATATTACTTGTTACATATAATACTTCAGAATAGATATGCAATAGCTCCTGACAGACTTGGAAAATTGTTCGTTGCAGTTAAACAGAGATGTAAACCATACGTGAATTTGACAAAGTTCCAAATTTTGTTCCAATTGTTAAATACGAGGGAATAACCATTAGCTGAAATATTGTCCCACAGATTATATGACATCATATGATTTCATCTGATTACAAATAATTTTTTTCACTACATATCAAGTCATTTGGTAAAATATACGAATTTATTTAATATTATACAATGATTTATCATGGTTGCATATGTAATTATCGGATTATACATAGAGATTTCATATGAATTTTATAATGATTTCGAGGACTCTGTCCCACGATTACATTAAGTGGTTACCCCCTCGATTAAATACATATTTTATAAAATTTTACACTATATCAGAATTCTCTTGTCTCAGTCCTCGCCGAACTTGCAATCTAATCATATTTTGCATTACCAGTAACGTTGAATCTTACATACGTAAATACATGACCAATTCTTATCGCCTTTCACAGAATGCTATTATCTATTAGCCAGATATCTCAATGATGCCGTGCGCAAATGTGTATTCGTTTCACGTGTACCTGTGAGTTCCCCTGTCACCGTCTGTGATTCAATCACGATGATGCCGTGTGCAAAATCACACGATCAAAGAATATCGATGAAGACAAAGGTTTCGCGATACCGCATACACTAGTACATTAAAAAATGTGTGAGAGTTGGATAAAGTCGCATCTTGAATTAGTTTGGAACATTTTTATATTATATCATTAATATACGTACACGTATGTATATAATACGTGAACACGTGTATATGTAACATAATATCAGATATAAAAAATTATAATAAAAATAGTTTTCAAAAATACGTTTCAAAAATAAATTAATACAAGTGAAATGCTTATATATGAGCATCTGCGGTGCATAAACAATATGTATTTTTGTAAAGAATTATAAATAATAAAGGATTCTTATAAATATATTATTCACACACTAACAATTACTGCGGACGCTCACACAGACATTTTATTTGTATTTGTTGTATGTAATAATATATTTGCATAATTTATTTAAACTTTAATAAAAGACTTTTATCTGCAGTCTATAATATTTAATCGTTAAACTGGTAAACTCATAATTTCCATCGCATCACGAATTCTATATTTTTTATACCTATATATTTTTTTTATCACATAGCCTTAATCTTTTCAAGGGCCGCGTTCGCGGCGCGGAAAAGGAAGGCTGACCCTCAGAAATTCGTTCCTTCAGAGTGTACAGACGAACGAATATGGTACGGTGACCAGATATTCACAAAGATTCGTGACGGTCTCCGTCGTTGAATCAAGGTACTCGCAAGTAATAAATAATCTGTAGATTTTTGCCGATACCGCGGATGAGAGACGCGAGGACAACACGAGGACTCGCATCGATACGTATCTCGAGCGACATACTTCCTTTCGTTGACGATATACGCGTGAATTTGCTTATCTCTTTTTCTCCCACGTTCGCCACTTAATGAGGAAATGACAAATAGTTTCACAACTGTGTGGAAACTTTTCATTTGTTATCATTTGAGCGACTAATACGGAAATAGGGGACTTTTTTACACGAAATTACTGGCTTTTGAAAGTCAAGTCATCGTTCTATTAATACTTATTGCTTATGTACATGTTTTTTGAAATACTTATTAATCTCATGGTAATTATATGTATTTCAGATCGGTTGAGCGGTCTGCGGATTATCGTCATATGTTCTTAAATAATTAGGTGCACCAGCGGATTAATAACCGACAACGGTCGATTCGTCGCTTCGTATGTCGTGCTATCCGACACCATGTCAGTTTCGTATTAATTATACTGTGATAATACGAGAACAACAGTCTTGCCTCGTCAAGACAGAGAGAACCGCTTGCATGGGCGTCGACAAGACGTTTCATAGAAAAAACGTATTACTGATATGATAAGAATTCTTGTAAATTTACAAACTCTTTTAATAAGATAAGTAATAAAATAAAATTTCTTAATAAAATTAGTTTAATCATGTCCCTTGTTGTTTACTAGCAGCTAAAGAACCTGAGAACGAGTATCAAATAACGACTCGGGAAAAAATGTTTCATATATAATCATATAAAATTGTATAAAATTATATAAAATTATACTTATATAAAAAATTGACATATTTTATATACAATTATATATAATTATACATAAAATCCATATATATAACATTTTTTCCCTAGGCACACTCAGGTAGCAAACTGTCGTTATTTTGACGTCAATAGTTAATCATTTTAAATTATTGACGTCATGTGATCTACTTAAGATGTGATAATGACACCATCTTTTTGACTAATTAATGACGTCATTTATTTATGACGTCTTTACAATGTTATACTTAATGACGTCAAAAAAATGGCCAATTGTCGACGTACTAGTAACATTATTAATGATCAATTAATAACGTCATACATTTATTCCGTTAATAACACGAAAATAATTATGTATTTTTGATGTCAGTTTATGACATTGTGTGAGTGATAAGAAATATAAGAATTCACGTCATTTTTACAATGTTTAGATGTCAAGGAACTTATTAAAATAAAGTGGAAATTACAAAAGTTGAATTTACTAGAATATTTGTAACTTTAGCACCTAGCTATTCGATGTCGATTCCATTATTATTTCTGACTGGGTAATGACGCCAAATGAACGACTTGCTACCGTCAATAACACGAAAAAAATGATGTATTTTTTACGTCGACTTATGACGTTATGTATCTGTGACAAACGTGTCCACGTCATTTTTACGATGTCATTTTAAACGTCACATTCGTTATAAGAATGACTAATCAATGACTTTAAATAGACGACACCTTGCTACCTGGGACAGTTTTGGGACAGTATTTTTTGAAATATCCCGACTGATAATTCCAGAAAGAAAACTCGAGCGAGCGCGATCCTTGCGCATCGCGCGGCGCCTATGATCGTTTCAGGATCGCATGACAAACGCACACGCGAGTACACCCTTCCTCCGCGATAAAACGTGATCGTTACACGGGCTATAAAATTATGCACTTCGCAAATGCTACTACTTGTTAGTCTTGTTACTCGTGACTTAACGCGAGATAACAAGCATGTCGAACATTGTTTGACAATGTCAACAATAAAAATAATTTAGGAAGTTATCAGAGTCCTTTATCTTATCTATGCAACACGAAAATTATGTGTAACAGTTTCGGTTAAACAATCATAAATTAACTCGATTTGTTATTTTCTACTCTTGGAAAGCGTAACGGGTCGATAATGGGGTAAAAAAAGGAGAGAAAAAACTTGCGGTATACGTGGTTTTACAGGTACGATGCGCTGATGAGAGAGAAACCCAAGAAGTCAACCGCAAACGATTGTCAAACGATCGTGCTTTAAACGATCGTTGATGGTCGCTCTTTCTTTAATGACGTCCGATCTAGTCGTTGGTCTTTAAAGAAGATAATCCAGTAGATTTTCTGCATATACGTTTAATTGTTTTGTATTATATATACTGGCATCTTTCATGCAAGTTGGTTAAACCAATAATTTTCATATTTCACACTTTTAAAAGTACCTTTCCATATAAAAAGACTGTACACGTCTTTTAATATGAAACTGAAGAAGGTATAGATTCTACAGAGTGTATTTCTTTATTTATTCTATTTAGTGATACAAACTGACACTCAAATATTTTATCTTTCTTGATATTCTATCTTTCTTGATATAACACAAATCGTGTTACCAAAGCATCCTAATATAAGATAACAAAAAATAATTATTTTACTATTTGAATCGGATATAAATGTTAAAAGTACCGTTGATTAATCACTGGAGAGTGTACTTTGATTAATTTTTTAATGGATTTATGAACGTAAATGTACCATTAATCAATCGGAGAGTGTAAAGCTCTAATTTATTTCAAATCTTTTAATGGATTTATATATATACGAATACAAATGTATAAAAATGAATCCATTCACGTTTTACGTGGATTACTAATGCGAAAGAACAAAAAAGAGACATCGGTGACGCAAAGTATTTCAAGGCTACATTTTGAAGGTCCACGGACACAGAGATATTTTCAGGTCAAAGCTGGTCCCGTTATTCCAGCGTTTGTTGAAAATATTCCGTGATGAACAAAACCGAAGGGAATCATGCGAGAGTGCACTCTTCTTATCGTTTTCGCACGAGTAGTTCCTCATAATTATGTAGTTCCTCGGAGTTATGATTTACGTAAATGATGTTGACGCAATTTTATCCGAGTTCAATGATTTATCGTAAATAAATACCCGGGCGGGAAATACCAGAAAACGGAGCAACAAAACGATTCAATGAAAGTTGTTAGCAGAACGAAATGATTTTCCTCGCTAGGATCTTATTTATTTCGGGATTTTGATTTCGTAGAATAGATCTTTGTGCAAAACGAGTTGTAAAGACTACAATTAACGTATAAAAAAAAGAATCATGTGTTGGGAAAAATAGAAATTTACGTCTCGTACCGCGGAGATTTGTCGAGTCGATAACTTCGTGGAAAAACCCGATTTGTTATTTTTATATGCGAGAACTGCAATTATGCACGACAGTTTAATGGGAAGAAACGTCTAGGTTTTTGTTTTAATGCTCGTGAAACTTGTTGTACGTCCTCGCGTGCGATCATTGTATTGAGATCCTGTCGCGTGGCAAAGTGAAGGGGAATCGCGGCCTTGTGTTTGCAGAGCTACAATGCATGTCGCGTACGGTAAAATTGCCGCATAATTTCGGCAATCAGTGAGCGAGCTCTGCGATTTATTAACACGCGGAGACATTGCCCGAAGAAAGAGAAATCGAAAGAGGAAAGCTTTCTCGCCGACAATGCGACGAGTGTGTGTGAATGTCAAAAGACACGTTGATTATAATCAATAAATAGTGAGAATTTTTTAACATTTCGCAATGTTTTTGTATTTATATCAGATTCTTTCAAGGCTGTTCCACGATGTTATATAAAACGTATTTTATTTTTATGAATGAGAACTTTTATGAATGAGAAGTTCTAATTTGTGAGAGATTAATATGTATTTTTTTATTGCTGCACTGGACTATACTAAAACTTTTTTCTCGCTTTTGCCAAATATCAAACATATATCTATTTCATTTTAAGTACAAGAGTGTACAACGGTTCATAAAAAAAAAAAAACAGACTTGAAAATTTAGAAACTCTTAACGTCTTGACATTTTTCCAAAAGAAACTTACGCCTCAAATATAAATGCCAAAAAATTGTCCAAAATATTTTATAAGATATCATGAATGTGTTATCGAAAGATCATATCATAAATATTGACGATATGCATGCATGTAATTTCTCCCTCCAAAGGATTAACTTCCCAATCGATTTCGCTAGCCAACGATTATCCCATATATATTTTCCGTCTGCCAATATTGTATAATTCGATATCAAGAATACGATATCGAGCAATATATTCCGAAAAGAGAAGAAGCTCGACACCTTCAATATTCATGTGCGGACATTAACTGTGAAGATCAACAATTTTCCAAAAGATACTCTCTCCAGAAACGATACACTCCAATTTTTCTGATTCCAACGGACACCACTTGTCATACTTTCACGCAGCACCGTCATCTCTCTTCTCTTAAGAAATCGAGCTCATCACAAATTACGGAGAACAATTAGTCGCGCATCGAAATGCCACAGCTGCATCCTTCAAAGCTGCAGAGCAAATCGAAACCCGTA